AAAAACCTGGTATGACAAAGTTTTACGATCCTCGGTCAACCTGACATCAAGCAGTAGTGATATCAGATTTTCACTTGCAATATCATAGGTCTCAAATATCATAATCACGTCCATTAAACACGTGATCGATTTCTGAAGGATTTTTGGACCCTCCTCCCCAAGAGAAAATTGTAAAATTTTTGAATTTTTTGAAAATTTTTGTCTTTTTAAAAGAATTCAGGTAAAAATACTGTACCCCTCCCTTCCCCACGTGATAGTTAGAATTTGTTAGAATTTAATATCTAGATTTTTGTCTCATTTTAACTGTTCGCTTAAGATAAGACTAACAATAAGTAATTTCTTAATGTCACCTACAAAATAGAAATGTTATAGTAATGTTATGTTTCGGGTCAAAAAGCTATGTATTTGATGTACGATTAGGCGTTTTACACATAAAACCTAACCTCCAAAAGGCACAATTTTATCTGAAGTGCAACTTTCTGATGTCACTTTGATAACACATACATAAGGAAAGTCTAACTAAATACAAATATGACATTTATTCTTTTTGGAAGTTAGGTTTTATGTGTGAAACACAGCAAATACATAACTTTTTGACTCGAAACATAACATTACTAAACATTTTTGTTTTATAGTTGTCATTAAGAAATTATATATTATCTTAAGCAAACAGTCAAAATATGACAAAAATGTAAATATACAACCATCTAACAAATAATTTTCTCACAAACTTTTTAACAAATAATTTTTGACAGTTTCTACTAACTTATACGAATATAGACCCGTAAAATAACATTTTTATTTTATCCGAGAATTGACCCATAAATGTATAATGAATTCACGACTTTTGTTGTTACTGTTATCTTACAACTTTTAAATATTGTGCTAATAATATCATTTTCCATAGGCCTATAATATTTTAAGGGGTTCATTTTGCCTATCATGCGAACTTTCACTAAAATCTCTCATGTTGATCCATTAACACGTTAATTGCCAAGTCAGTCATATGTGTCTGGCATACAGAATTTGGTAAGAAATGAAAAATTTTAATATAGGGCCCATGACATGAAAATTGTGTTTTTCCAGAAATTTTGGCTAAAAGAAATTTTTTGGTGGATCAACTGTCCTCGTTACATTTTTATCTAAATTATCTAAAAAGATACCGTGGTCCTTGAGAAAAATTTTCTGATACTATCATGGCTATTAACCCTTCCCACTCGGATGCCGCCGCTCCGGCGTAAAAATACATACTAATTCCGGAATTACCGAGTGAAAAGGCTTAAACTGTTACTAATACTCATTGGAAATTCACCCATGGGCAAAATTTTCCTCAAAATCTAGTATGTTTATGCATTTATTTTTTATCTTATTAGATAAGAAATTATGATATAAAATTGATAAATTTAATACTAAGACCTGATTAGAATCAGCACGTCGCCGTACTTGTCTGCATCATGTAGAAGCGATATCAATTTTTGATAAGATACAAAATATATGTTAAAGTACTGCGATGTGAAATGGCATTGGGAAATTTGAAATATATTAAACCAATATTATTATTATTACTATAAATGTGCCGAATTTTCTATTTATTGCTAAAGAATGAAATATCGAATTCAAAGTCGTTTCATTCAAAACTTTTATATCGGAGTGTATAAAAGTGTGTCTTAGGAAATGTTGTAAATTTTATTTAGTTTCACCATATCTAACTGAAAAGGGGTGCTTTCATATGAAATTTTTGAGTTAATAAAAATATCCCGAATTTTCTATTTATAGCTACTAAAGTAGGAAATATCGAATTCAAAGTCGTTTTATTCAAAACTTTTATATCAGGGTGTATATAACTGTTTTAATGAAAATGTAGCAAATTTTATATAGTTTTACACTATCCCACTGAAAAGGGGTGGTTCTATATGAAATTTTTGAGTTACTTGGCAAAAACCTAAAAAATGTCCCGAATTTTCTATTTATTGCTAAAGAATGAAATATCGAATTCAAAGTGTAATGAATGTATAAATAAACCATAGAAATTATGTTTGTAAAATATTGATTCATCTATCATGGTTTATGGTTTATTACTATTGTTCTATTATATTTTCCTTCGGCTCCCTCTCTAACTGCATATATGTATGAATGTAAGTTCCTAAGTGAAGACTTAAATAGTTCGTTCGTTTGTTCGTTATCCATATCAATGTTATCGGTGACGTTTGTTCGCTTTTATATTTACATAAATGAATTGATAACGAGGACGACTTGGAGGAGTGGGAAAGTAACTAACTAACTAACTAACTAAAGACTAGTAAACAAGACCCATATGTTCATAAAAAATCTTTGAAAATCAGTTTATGCTTGTTAGTACAGTCCATTTCGTTTAATGCATTACTAATGGCTTTTGTTAATACTGAGTTTTAAAGGTTCTTCAAGATTCTTAGAGTATCTTCTAGAGTCTTGTAAGATCTACTAGAGTCTTGGAGGATTTTTTGAAAGTATTGGAAATCTTTGGAGACTTTTGGAGAATATTTGAGTCTTGGTGGATCTTTTGAGAGTCTTGGATGATCTTTTAGACTAGAGTATTTGGGACTTTTTAAGAGTCTTGGAGAATCTGTTGAAAGACTGGAAGGATCTATTGAGAATTTTGGAGGATCTCCTAGGGTCTTAAAAGATCTTCTAGGACTCGCTAGTCTTTGAGACTAGCATTAGAGAATCTTTTTGAAGATCTTCTAGTGTCTTCAAAGATTTTCTAGAGTTTTTGAAGATCTTCTGGAGTCTTTGAAGATCTTCTAGAGTCTAAAGATTATCTATTGTCGATTTTTCTAGTGTCTTGATGATCTTCTAGACAGAGTATTGGAGGGAGTAGAATAGTCTTCTATCAGAATCTTTTTTCCAGCAAGAATCTTGATTTCCATAAGATTTTAGAAGTCCTAATTCTCTTTGCATCTCCCTTTTCTTTCTTTGAAAATGGTTTCTGTTGGTTGGAATTTGAGTTTTTTTTTTAATGTCAGTTTGCTCCTCAGTAGTGTCCCTTTTTGTCGTTTCTAAAAGTTTTATTTGGAATTTAAAAGGATTTTTTAAGAACTTTATTATCTTGTCAATAATCTTTTTTTTTAGTAATGACCCTTATTTTCATAAGTTTAGGAGTCCTAATCCTGTTTGCTTGCCAGTAGTGTCCCTTTCCTTCTTTATAAATGTCTTCTATAGGTTAGAATTTATAAGGAGTTCTTCGAATATCAGTTTGCTCGTCAGTAGAGTCCCTTTTCGTTGTTAAGAAATGTATTATCTTATCAGTACAGTCGTTTTCAATAGTTTATTTGGTATTTATAAGGATTCTTAAGAAATTCAATTATCTTGTCATTTTTTTTTAGTAATGACCTTGATTTCAATTGGAATTTAGGTGTCCTTCGGAATTCTGTATACTCGTCAGTATAGTCCCTTTTTTTCAATAGCTTCTGTTGGAATTTATAAGGAGTTCTTGAAAATCCTTTCTTGTTTCACATGGATTTGGAATTCTTGGGAAATCTTACGCGCTTTGATATTTCGACTCCAAATCGAAGCTAGGCAGTGCAATTACTTAAATAAAACGTTAGTTTTTTAAAATAAATCAAAATACAACAAAAAATCAAAATAGAAAATAAATCAAGTTTTTCAAAAAAGTCAATTTTTGTTTTCAAATAATTCAAAATTTCTCAAAAATCTAAATTTTTCAAAGTTTAGCAGTTTTTTTTTAATAATTTACTTTTCTGCACG